AAAGAAATAAAAAGAATTAGGAAACGTTTTTTCCGTTACTTTGCAGTTATTTTTTTATAACTATTATAATAACTATTATAAGTTTTTTTTATAATAACTTTTTCCAACTCTGTGGAAATAAATATATACGTTTATCTACAAAACGTAAAACAATATGAAATGTAACAAAAAATAAAAATCTAAAAATAAAAATCTTCAAAGGCTTCTCATCTTTTTGTTGTCTCTTATATATATTATATATGTAATATATATATAACATATGTAATATACAATATGTTATGTAATATATGTAATATACGTAATATACGAGTATGTTACATATATGTTATTATATGTAACTGGAAGAAAATATTACTGGTGTCAAAATATAGAATACTCTTCCATCTCGAAATAACTTTATCTGTAACATGACTTGTTAATATTGCACTTATAAATATCAATTACACTGCCTTAAATACAGTCACGATTAATACAGATCGCGATTAATTTCCAGTAAGCATTCTATGTACAACGACCAGATTTCTGCAGTTTTGATTTTCTTTATAGCAGTCTGGTATACTTCGTTGCACGATGTGATGCGAGCCCTCAGAGATTTTTTATCAGCATTCTCCGATTCCGTCGCCGTGTCACTGATGACTGGTTGCGCTAAACCTTGCAATTCACGACGCGCCAATGTGTATCCTACATTAAACTCAATATAACTTTACCCGTAACATGACTTGTTAACATTGTACTTACCAATTTCAATTACAATATTCAATTTCAATTTCAATATTCTGTGCACTGCAGACTTGTACGTAAATCGACAACAAAGTCAACAAAATAACAAATTACTCGTGTTTAATCAGCGCCGAACTTTGTCATGCGCGCGCAAACTTTTATCCCCGTACTCGGGTGGCAATGGTCGGCCATGATGTTTCCATTTCTGCGATCCTAGTGTCACTCCCGTGCGAGGAGCAGCCTGATACTGAGCTGTTCCTCCAGGCCGTTCCTTTTTATATTACGCTGCTTGTGGGGTGGTGGGGGTAGGCGGAGAGGGAGAAGGGATTGTGGGAGGGAAAAGAGATGATGGAATTGGTCGGTCTTCAATAACAGGGAAAATGGTCTTCCATATTTTATTTATGTTGTAGCCATTATCTCTATTTAAATTGTTAGGGTGTTTTTGTATCTCTATGGCTTCTCTATACTTTCTTGGAAAGTATGATGTACTGTTGGCTATTGTGCTCGTTTTGTCAAACAGTATTTGATGTCCTGTATCAATGTTGTGTTCTGATAATGCCGCCTGCGTGATGTGTTTTAATCTGACATCACGTTGGTGTTCTTTGATCCGTAAGTTGACCATCTCCCGGTTTCTCCAATGTATACTTTCCTGTAGGAACAAGGTATTTTGTATACTCCTGCAGAACTAAGTAG